CGGCTCAATGGTGGCTATCCGAGGGCGCGACACCATCATCTTCAGGTGCCAGAACGGGAAGCACCGTGCGCTAACGGATGTATATTATATCCCGCAGCTGCGTTCAAGCATCATCAGTATTGGTCAGCTGGATGAGCGCGATAGCGAGGTACTGATCAAGGACGGAGTTCTTAGGATCAGGGACCGGGAGTAGCGACTTCTCGCCAAGGTGAAGAGGTCCCAGAACCGGTTGTACCTGCTCGACCTGAAGGTAGAGCAGCCGGTGCGCCTGACGGCAAGGCACACCAAGGAACCGTGGCTGTGACATGCCCGGTTTGGACATCTCAGCTTCGACACGCTTGGTCGGCTGGAGAAGATGATCCGAGGGTTACCCCACATAAAGCACGGAGGCGAGCTGTGTGATAGCTGCCTGACCGGGAAGCAGAGGAGGCTACCATTCCCAAAGGCGGCCAAGTATCGTGCGGAGGACGCTCTCGAGCTCGTCCACAGCGACCTCTGCGGGCCGATCACGCCAGCTACAAACGGTGGTCGGCGGTACTTCCTCCTGCTCGTGGATGATTGCAATCGCTACATGTGACTGCAACTCCTGACGAGCAAGGACGAAGCGGCGGCGGCGATCAAGAAGTTCAAGATGCGCGCGGAGGCCGAGAGCGGTAAGAAGCTCCGTGTGCTGAGGACTGATCGCGGCGACGAATTCACTTCGGTGGAGTTTGCTGCGTACTGCGCGGATCAGGGTGTGGTGCGACACCACACCGTGCCGTACTCGCCACAGCAAAATGGCGTGGTGGAGCGATGGAACCAGACGGTGGTCGGCATGGCTCGATCCATGATGAAGGCCAAAGGCATGCTGACAAGGTTCTGGGGTGAGACGGTGACCACGGCGGTGTTCATCCTCAACCGCTCTCCGACCAAGGCCCTTACGGACAAGACGCCGTTCGAAACTTGGTATGGGCGTAAGCCGAGCGTGTCCTTCCTCCGGACATTCGGCTGCATCGGCCACGTCAGGAAGACGAAGCCGATCCTCACCATGCTGGAGGACAGGAGCACACCGATGGTGTTCCTGGGCTACGCGGAGGGTACCAAGGCATACCGGCTCTACGACCCACGCGGAGACAAGGTGCTTGTCTCGCGCGATGTCGTGTTCGACGAAAAGGCGGCTTGGGACTGAAACAGTCCAAGCACGGGGGAAGCTGACAGCTTCACCAGCACCTTCGTCATCGAGCACTTGGTCATCCACGATGGTGGAGACGCTGGGGAAGAGGTGCCGAGCACTCCAGCAACAGAGCCGAGCACTTCTGGGGCGGTGCCGAGCACTTCGGGAGGGATGCCGAGCACTCCTGGAGGGATGCCGAGCACTCCCGTAGCAGAATCGAGGGGTCTTGCAGTGGTGCCGACCACCACAAGACGGGTGCCGAGCACTCTCGGAGGGGTGCAGACCACTCCAGGAGTGGTGATGAGTTGTCCAGGAGTAGTGCCGAGCACTGCAACCGGGGTGCCGAGCACTCCAGGTGCTGTGCCGAGCACTCCGGCGGAACAGGGAACTCCATCGATGTCAATCGAGTTCGCCTCACCTCCAAGTGACATCACCGAGTTCGTGGATGCCTTCCACGAAGGTGAGGAGGTGCGGTTCCGCAGGCTGGATGACATCGTTGGTGGCACAGGGCCCTCAGGCCTGGCTGGTCGGCTGCTCAATGACCAAGAGCTGCTGCTCGTCAGTGTAGAGGAACCACCCACATTCGCACTGGCGGAGCGCGACGGAAACTAGCGACGGGCGATGCTAGAGGAGATGAAGGCGATCGAGGAAAACGAGACATGGCAGCTCGTCGATCCACCTCTAGGATGTCGTCCGATCAGCCTAAAGTGGGTGTACAAGGTCAAACAGGACGAGCTCGGCGCCATTGTCAAGCACAAGGCGCGCCTCGTCGCCCGAGGCTTTGTTCAGCGCGAGGGCATCGATTTCGAGGAAGTCTTTGCGCCAATAGCGCATGGAGTCTGTCTGGTTGCTACTAGCCTTGGCAGCAGCAAAGGACTGGCGCGTCCATCACTTGGACGTTAAATCGGCCTTCTTCAACGGTGAGCTGACAGAGACGGTCTTCGTCAGGCAACCTCCAGGTTTCGCCATCAAGAGAGAGGAGCACAGGATGCTCCGACTGCGCAAAGCGCTCTACAGGCTGCGGCAGGCCCCACGAGCGTGGAATGCCAAGCTTGACGCCACGCTGGGCGATTTTGGGCTCCAGCGGTGCGCAACCGAGCACACGCTCTACACACGGCGACGGGGGAAGGAGGAGCTCGTCGTCGACATGTATGTGGATGACTTGATCGTCACCGGCGCGCGTACCGAAGACATCAACAGCTTCAAGCACGAGATGGTGGCTCGTTTCCGTATGAGCGATCTCGGCGCACTCTCCTACTACCTCGGCATTGAGGTGAGACAAGGGTAAGAGGAACTCACGCTCAGTCAAAGCGTGTATGCCTCGAAGCTGTTGGAGCAAAGCGGCATAGCTGAGTGCAAGCCATGCGTGACTCCGATGGAGGAGTGGCTGAAGCTGACGAAGGCCAGCACCGCGGCGAAAGTGGATGCAACACTCTACCGGAGCATCGTCGGCGGTCTGCGCTACCTAGTTCACACGAGGCCAGACATTGCGTTCGCCGTGGGCTACATCAGTCGCTTCATGGAGGATCCCAGAGAGGATCACTGGGCTACGGTGAAACGGCTACTGCGCTACGTCAAGGGGACGATGAATCAGGGGATTATCTTTCTCAAGACCGGCGGGAGTAGGCTGCAGCTCACTGTGTTCAGCGATGCAGACATAGCAGGGGACATCGACGGACGGCGGAGCACCTCTGGAGTGCTCGTCTTCCTCGGGTCGGCTCTAATTTCATGGTTGTCGCTGAAACAGAAGGTGGTGGCGCTATCTACGTGCGAGGCAAAGTACGTAGCGGCGGCCACAGCGGCGTGCCAAGTTGTGTGGCTACGCCGGCTGCTGGGCGAGCTGACCGGTGCGGAAGCTCACCCACCAGCACTGATGGTGGACAACCAGCCCGCCATCGTCCTCGCGAAGAATCCGGTTCTCCACGACCGGAGCAAGCACATCGATGTGAAGTTCCACTTCCTCAGGGACTGTGTCGATGAAGGACAGATCGTCATCGAGTTCGTCGAAACTGGTTGGCAACTCGCGGACGTTCTCACCAAGCCGCTCGGACGTCTTCGACTTACGGAGTTGAAGGAGATGATCGGCATGGAGGAGTTACAAAGGATAGTAGTAGGATTATGGGAAAAATTGTTAGATAATCTACTGCTTCCTTGTGTGAACACACAGCAAGGGAAGGCGGCGCATAAAAGACTCCCTGCTGTGGTACTGTAGCCGCTGTAGAGGCAGGCGCTGAACGGCTCACCTGCTGCTCTGTAGCCACAGTAGGGACAGGCGCAGAAGTCAGTCCTGGTGTGTTATCTAGTCACTGTTGCAGCATAGGAGCTGTACTAGGACTAGATGGATAGAGTTGTATATATAGTTTGCCATTGCAACTCAACAAAGAGAGTTCAGATTTGTCATCTCCTATACAGAGCTCTGGCCAACGCTGGTGCTTGTAATGTGTGTGTGCTCTGTTCTCACTCTCTTCTTCTACCTCCGACCATAGTGTGTGGTCGGACAACGTCTGTCGTGCTCGGCCGTGGTTGGCAAGACTGGTGAGTGGTCGACTCATCTGAGCCGGTGATCTAGTGGGCTAACAATCAATGATCCTGACAATTCAGCTCAACTATATGCTGATGTTTTCAATTGTCAAATTGGTTACTTCCCTATCATATACTTGGAAGTTTCTGTGAGTCCAAGTGGACTTCATGTGATTGACTGGTTACCTTTGGTGGAAAAAAGTGCTAAAAAATTAGATGTGTGGAAGGGAGGGCACCATGTCTATAGCTGGGAGATCTACCTTAATTAGCTCCAGTTTGAATAATGCCCCTATCTACCAAAATGTCCATCTATCTTTTGCCTAGAACAGTGATAAGGAATCTAGATAAGATCAGAAGGAAGTTCATTTGGCAAGGTGGGGGAACTAAAAGAAAATATCATTTAGTAAAATGTACAAAAATTTGCAAAAACAAAAGAAAGGGGGACTAGGCATTAAGGACATTAGGAAAATGAACTTAGCCTGCTGTGCAAATGACTTGTAGTGAGAATGTCTCTTCACATAAAAACATTTGGAAAGGGAAAATCCCAGCCAAAATCAAATTTTTTATGAGGATGGTAGTGAATAATGCAACTTTAACCAAAGATAATATGATTAAAAGAAATTGGAAGGGTAGTCCCTTGTGCTACTTTTGTGATCAGAATGAAGATATGTTACATCTTTTTTTTTTTAGCATCAGATATGTTACATCTTTTATTCAGTTGTTGTGTAGCCAGAGTGGTTTGGGCTGTCATTGCCTTATGTATAGGGGCTTCTGATATCCCTAGATCACCTCAGCAAAGCTGGTCTTGGTGTCAAAAATGGATGCCAAAAGGAAAGGAGTTCCATGCTGTTGGTATTGCAGCAGTTTGCTCGGCAATCTGGAAAGCCAGAAACAAAACATGCTTTTATTTTTTTTGTCTTGATGGGAAACTAACGAATAACCCAAGTGAGATTATATGCCATTCCAGTGCTCTTATGTGTTGTTGGGCAGGCTTATTTGCAGATGGTGACAAGGAGAAGCTGATTGATGGGGTGAACACTATGATTCAGATAGCTACCAAGCTGCTCGCCAAGCCGAAGATGATGAAAAAAGAAGTCAACCAGATTCAGGACAAAATGATCGCCAAGAGGGTGGTCGACATGGTCCTGCTGAGTAATGATGGAAGTTCTTTGGACAAGCATGATGCAGTTCTGTCAGGCTTTTCTGAAACTATGTTACTTAGCGTTTCACTCTTCTGCTCTGATGTTGGCTGTTGGTTTTCGTTGGCCGTTTGTGTGGCCATAGCAGGCTATGTCAGTTAGCTGCTAGGGAGGTTTTCTGGTGAAGTCTAGTTCTGCTTCTCTGAACTCTCAAAAAATGTTGTATTTCCGTTTGCTGTTAATGGAAATGGGGGAAGCCTCTATTCGAAAAAAAAAAGAGAAGGCACCACAGGTATATCATAACAAATTTACTTGCATAAGGAAATATGCAGGGCTACCTGAACAGTAGGGGCAGATGAAGTTAACCTTTTGGTATACGCAGCTACGAAAGAATTCCTCTCGTCCTCAGGAATAAAATCTCTAAATTGTTCCCATGCTGCATATTTGAAACTGAAGTTATTAATCCACTCATCAAAACAAAAACTAGTACAGTGAGTCAGTGACATGGTTTGGTTTTCCACAAACAATCACAAAGTAGGACGGTTTTAGAGAAAAATATATAAAACAGACTGCATAAACATTCTGTATTACGCCATTAATTTGGGATATGACATAAAGATAAATCAATACAAGTTCGCAGTATTATTCAGAAACAGTGTAAAGATGCTCTGGTAACGTTTAACATGTGAATCTGGTTTCTCTCTAGTAACACAAAGCCAGAAAGACGAACCATCTGGGAAAATGGCTGCTGCACCGCCCTCATAGAACCAATGGAGCTCCTTTTCCCTAAGCAAGCAGATTCCTCTCAGAACAAGGGCAGTGACCTAGTGAGCATCCACATGCAGGTTAGTGTTAGCGAGATGTACAGCATGGCTTATAGGATTTGCTTCAAGAGCTGAGCTTCAAGGCAAGCCAAACACACAGCACATAGTGCGGTGACATGAAGCAATCACCTTGTCAGGGTGCTCCTGGCTGTACGCAAGCGCCAAGGCGCTGCCCCATGAACCACCAAAAACCTGCAGCTTGTATCGGAAGAGTGAATTCCCGTAGCCAAGAGAGTCAAGAGTGAGCAGTGACTAGCTGGTGATGAGTACTCCTCCTATAACACAAAAGAGTTGTTGGAAGTTGGAACAGGAGATGCTAATTGCCTTGCCTGCCATTCCGGGATGCCAAGATGCTCCCTGAGCTTCTCGATGTCAGCTACCAAGTCCCAGGTAGTGTTGTCCTCTAAACATCCGTAGGGAGTGCTTTTGCCTGCACCCCTCTGCGATCAGAGTATGAAACCAAACAAGTTTACTTTCCTCGTGGTTACGGTGGTGATATATATATAGATCAAAATCAAATGAAATAAATACAAGAAGAAACCACGATAATCAAGTCGCCAAGAGGTATATATTTCTTCTATCTAAACAATGCAATTCTGGGATTTGACAAGTCAAATTTTCCTAAGGCCTTGTTCGGTTCTTCTAGAACGAGGGCATGGAATAATTTCTAGCTGGATTGTTTCACTAATTTGTATAGTCTCGAGAAGCTGAAATTGTTCCTAGGTCAAATCTCAAGAAACCGAATGTAAGTCTGATCAAATTTGTAAAAGGAAATGATATTTAGGCCTACAGTAAGGTTTATACTATAAAAATACATTTTAGAATTAGTCCGATTATACCTATTCAGGGTGGTAGTATTTTTTTCTTTTATAGATTTGATTAAATCAAATTATTTGACTCCACGATAAATAAGAATCGCATTCAATAGGGAGTATATACATAGTAAATATAATATATATGTATATAATAACCTGATCAAGCAGCACGATCCTGTCAAAGAATCTCCTGACTGCGGGCGACGTGCCGTCTCCGGGACCGCCGTGGAGGAACACCACTGGCTGCAAGAGCGTCAGCGAATTGGGAAGGTACTACTAGCTCTCACATGGCCGTGGGGATTCCCGGACTGCTCGTAGTAGATGGAGTGGACGCCGGAGACCTGGAGGAACCCGGAGTCGTACGGCTCCACCGGCGCGTACAGAACCCTCGACAGCGGCTCCATCGTCCTGTGCGGCGGCGGCGGCGGCAGCGGCAGCGGCGGGGCCGGACTTTCGGCTGCTGTACGAAAACCTTTCTCCTGTGCGGAGGCGACGCGTCAGAGAAAAGAAAAAACCACGTCACTCATTCATAGAGTAAGGGCGCGTTTAGTTAGCCAAATTTTTTTGGCTTTGACTATCAAAGTATTTTTGTTTGTATTTGATAATTAGTGTCTAATTATGGATTAATTAGGTTTGAAAGTTTTGTTTTCGTGATTTCTTACTTAACTGTATAATTAGTTTTTTTTCATCTATATTTAATACTCTATATATGTGCCGCAAGATTCGATGTGACACTCCGAAGTTGAAATTTTTTAGAAACTCAACAGGGCCTAAGTCATAAGCCAGGGAGACCCCGGTGTGGCTGTGAGCCGTTGGCCACATACCGCTGTCGTTAGCAAGGCTCTCGGCCTTAGCTTTGACATCAACGCTTCACCTACGCCCCTCGTGGCGAACGAGATGCACTAAAAAAAAAATTGGCCACTCTGATTAGCCGTGTGTATTTGGTAGTAGGAGTACTTCACCTAAAGAAGCTAGAGAGACCAAAACGAAGCATGTGAGGATGTGTGGATTCCTTCCTCTAAACTTTAATCTCTAAAATTTTAGAGCATTTTAGTTTACTTTTAAGGCCTCAGGCTCAAATACGAGATGTGCTAAAGTTTAGAGCTAATCTTAGATCATCTGTTTGAAGACTTTAGCTCTAAAGTTTGGAAGAAGAAATCTAAATAGGACCTAAGCCATACCAAATATTATGAAAAAAAAACAACCCCACTGAGGGCTTCTTTAGTATGATTCCGATGTACTTTTGTCGTGGTGTCGTGCTAAACACGATTAAAAAAGCAGTTCCTTGTAGGGAATTTAGAGGAGCCATAGTTGGGTTTCTTTTTTGTTGGAGAACTGGAACTGTGAAAACGTAGCTTCTCCCAACTCCTTATAAATCTGACACAAATTATTATAAAATTATAGATATTTTTGTCAAACGTCTTTTTAAAATGGCTCAAGCACTGCTAGAAAAACTGGTCCACGAACCGAAACTTTTAGAAGAAAAGTATGAGTCCCGCCAAACTAGCCCTAATTTCAGTTCATTTTGTAAAAATATATATTAATTTGATTTCATAATATACGGCCAACAGGTGAAGCCGGAGCCGACTCAAGCCGTGCCAATGCCAAATGGCCGGCATCTGGATCTGTTGTTTTTTTTTAAAAAAAAAACTTGTGAGCACCAACAAAAGGCGCATCTCCGCAGATCACAGCCACAGGATCTATCTATATATCCATCCTCGTGTCACGCCCCAGCCACACCACACCACGACCGCACCTGCCGCCGCCGCCGCCGCCGCCTCCAGTCCTCCTCCAGCGCCCGCTGCGCCGATGGAGTCCCTGGGCGTGCTGCTGCTCCACCCCGTGAACGCGTACCTGGAGCAGGAGCTGGGCCGCCGCTGCCGCCTGTACCGCTTCTGGGAGTCCCCCCGCGAGGAGTTCCTCCGCGCGCACGCGGGCGCCGTCCGCGCCGTCGTCGGCAACGCCAACTACGGCGCCGACGCCGCGCTCATCGACGCGCTACCGGCGCTCGAGATCGTCGCCTCCTTCTCCGTCGGCATCGACCGCGTCGACCTCGCCAAGTGCCGCGAGCGCGGGATCCGGGTCACCAACACCCCCGACGTCCTCACCGACGACGTCGCCGACCTCGCCGTCGGACTCGCCATCGCCGTGCTCCGCAGGATCCCGCAGGCCGACCGCTACGTCCGCGCGGGGCTCTGGAAGTCCAGGGGCGATTACACCCTCACCACGCGGGTGCGTCGCCTTGTTTTCCCTGCTCCCCACTTTCTTCTTCTTCTCCTTATTAATTATTCATTATATACCTACTGCTGCTTATTACCTACAGTATGCTTCATTTTACGAGTTGGGAAAAAAAAGGAATTCAGTATTTGATACTGCGATCTAGTAATTTTTTTAGTAGTGAATATGATAAGTTGGGCCAGTGTGAACCTCAGTTCCAAAATCTGTGTACTGTTAGGCGTCTATTTAGATAGATTAGTTATTAATTATAAAGCGAGGATAGTACACCCTTGAGGACGAGGTTTATTGGCATCACAAGAGGGAGCATTTCACGGATTGTGACTGAATAAAAAGAGGGAACTATCTGTCAATAGGGATGATGAACTGGAGCCCAAATTCTATGGCAATCAAGGAAAAAATGATTTTGTTTCAGAGTCATAGTCATATGTCGCCTTTCTCAAATTTGGTTCTCATTTGAACATTTATCGTATACCATGTGAATGACATAGATTGACAACACCTGAGTGGAAGGCGCCTTCAGCACCACATTAAACAGACACATTTTCGGAACTGGCCAAGCCCTTGTGGGGCAGTAAAATTGGATTCTATCTTTCTGAAATTAAAGGGGTTGTTGAGCCTTTTAAAGCCACAAACATTGCTTGTTGGGATCACGTGCTTTCAAGTGGAAAGCTTAGATGGGTAGGACCACATCCTTTTAATGTTGATGGTTGTAGGTAGAGATTTTTCTGTGGTCTAGAGAGATGGTTATCGCATCTGCACATGAAAACATTGGATGCTATGGTTCTTTCTTCAATTGAAATCACCTATCACTAGGAGAACCCTATCCGTAGGAACTTTTTTGGCATTGTTCCTGATGACATTACATGTAATCAGGTTTGTCATCTGTCAAACTTAATCAAGGTTCGGTTAGGTTGCTTGTTTAGATCTGCATTGCTTCATCACTAGAACTATGCTTATATATATGCTGAGGTAATAATCAGATTAGTGAACACTCTGTACCATTATCTGAAACTACATTTTAGGCCACACCAATCTGTCACGAGTTGCTTGGCACACTGGACGCTGTTATTACTCTCTTCAGTAGCATCAGGATATATGCATAGACTGAAGTAACGTTTGGTAGAATAGAAAAGGAAATGACTCTTGTTATCTTCCTGCAGTTCAGTGGCAAGAGAGTTGCTATTCTGGGGCTTGGCAGGATAGGCTTAGCAATAGCGAAAAGAGCCGAGGCATTCGGTTGCTCCATAAGCTATAACTCAAGATCAGAGAAGCCTTTCCCAAACTACAAGTTCCACGCAAACGTTGTCGAGCTGGCAGCCAACTGTGACGTGTTTATTGTGGCGTGCTCGCTTAACGCCGAGACCCACCACATTGTGAACCGTGAGGTCATCGATGCGCTGGGTCCAGAGGGTGTGCTTGTAAACGTTGGCCGCGGAGCACATGTGGACGAGTCCGAGCTCGTGTCCGCGCTCGTCGAGAGACGCTTGGGAGGAGCGGGCCTCGACGTGTACGAGCACGAGCCCTTGGTTCCGGAGCAGCTGTTTGGTTTGGATAATGTAGTCGTAGTGCCTCATGTGGCCAGCGACACTGAAGAAACATGCAGGGCGATGGCTGACCTAGTGCTAGGAAATCTAGAGGCGCACACGTCAGATAAGCCATTGCTCACTCTGGTTATCTGAGTGTTGCTGGTAGGCACTTGGTCTGAGATTAGTAGAAGAAGAACATGACACCGTGGTTTGTAATCCCAACTCTGCACTCTGCTTTTTTTCTTTTTCTTTTTTGGTTTGCCAGTCAGCAGGCTGTTACTCAGATCAGCCATGATTAATAAGAGTACCTATCTAAGGAGATACTCTCGCATTGACATAGTGGTTTGTAATCCCAACTCTGCACTCTGTTTTTTTTTTTTTTTTTTGCCAGTCAGCAGGCTGTTACTCAGATCAGCCATGATTAATAAGAGTACCTATCTAAGGAGATACTCTCGCATTGACATATGATTGTCGCTAGCACTTGGTCGGTCGGAGATTTGTTGAAGGACATGACACTATGATTTGTAATCCCAACTCTGCACACTCTGCTATTTTTTCGTTTGCTACTAGTCAGCCTGCCATCACTAGGGACATGCTGTTCTCTTTTTTTTAAGTCGGGTTGTTACTCGATCAGGCATGATTAATAAGAGCATCAATGGAGATACTCACATTGGCGTATGATTTGGAGTTTCATCATTTCTTGTTATCTTTTTCTGTGTGTGTGTGGTCAGAGCATATGATGCACATTCTTCACTTTGTTGTCATGGATATTCTTGCGCATCTATCATATGTTCGACTCTGATTTGCTGACGATTTCCTGACGCAAAGAATTCTTCATGTGGTCACTGCATTGCAGTTCAGCGGGAAGCGAGTGGGCATCATCGGGCTGGGCAGGATCGGGCAGGCGGTGGCGAGGCGCGTGGAAGCCTTCGACTGCCCGGTGAGCTACCACCAGCGGACGGAGCAGGCGTCGGTGTACCCAAACTACACCTACTACCCGACGGTGGTGGAGCTTGCGGCCAACAGCGATGTGCTGGTGGTGGCGTGCCCGCTGAACGCGTCGACCCGGCACATCGTAAGCCGCGAGGTGATGGAGGCGCTGGGCCCGAAAGGCGTGCTGATCAACGTCGGGCGCGGCCCCCACGTCGACGAGCCCGAGATGGTGGCGGCGCTGGCGGACGGGCGGCTCGGCGGCGCCGGGCTGGACGTGTTCGAGGACGAGCCGAACGTCCCCGAGGCGCTGCTCGGGATGGACAACGTCGTGCTCGTGCCGCACGTCGGCAGCGGCACCTACGAGACGCGCAAGGCCATGGCGGACCTGGTGCTGGGGAACCTCGAGGCGCACGTGCTCAGCAAGCCGCTGCTGACTCCGGTGGTCTGATGAGTCTGAGCCCGCCGGCACGGCTGGCTGCGCGTGGTGTTTTGCGTTGTGTAGGAGAGGGGAATGGAGTGGATGATGGTTTCCGTTCCAGGGGAACTGGGAAGGAAGATGGGTCTGTTGCGGTTTCCTTGTTATTATTGAATAACAGCGGGTAGGCGCAACGCGCCAGCGCCTGATGATGAACTCTCAGCTAGTGGGGATTGAAATGTTTTGTGTCGAAATGATCGTCGCTTGTGAAATGACACTCGTTAAAAGTGAA